ATCACTATTTTTGGCTATGATCTGTATTAGGTCTTCCTTAAATATGCAAGTACTTTCGACGGGTTCTCCGGTCATCATCAGGCATGGAAACTATGCCTCAATCCTATTCATGGTTCACACCAGCATGATCGGCCGCTATGGCACACAGCAATCACTATTTTTGGCTATAACAGCGTGGTAGCTCACGTCTAAGCGCCTATTCTTTGCTGCACGTAATAAATGTAAACGAGTCATTGAAGGCGCTAAGCCACTGTTTGCTGAGAGAATGGTGCACATTATTGCATCTAACAACTTTGGCACTTGTGATTACTGGCGGCTCTGTAATAGGGTATTAAATAAATGTATGTTTTCTATTCTTTTCCTCTGCAATCAATATGAGGTGTTGATAATATTAAATGCTCTACCCGTAAATTCCCCTTAATATCTATTCTTGACTCATCTGGAGTATCTCTGCTTAACTTCCTACTTAGAACTGAATCTCTGTTGAGTGATATACATATAACCTTTTATATGGTTTCTGTTATCATCTCTAACCTAGATTCCAACAAAAAGTTAAATCATTTTACTCTACTATTGTTCAACCAGTGGCTGGGCATTACGCCATTTTTCTTTACCACCGGTAAAGCGGTGGTCAGGGCTCAAAAGATTAATGCTTCTTTAACCACACGGGAGAGTCACTGTCTCAGCTTACACTGTCTCTTTTTATTGGAAGTCAGGTTAAATTAAAGCGTCACAGCTTGATTTTCAGGTAATCAGAAGGGCTATAAGCCACGAAGGCTTTTTCCAATGTTTTCCCGTTATTAAAAAAGAACAAACAATTGTGATTCATTCTTTCATCAAAAATCTGATAACTAGATTTTACACAAAAGAGACTCGCATAAAAAAAGATAAATGCATTCACTTTTCAATGTTTCCGTATATTAAATTAGTTTAAATTTATCCAAGAAATTACTTTTAAACCTTCAAATTTGCATGTATTTAAAATTGCCGTTTGCAAATCATCTTCAGCATATGTTACGCGAACCATACATATTTCTCTATCCAATTTTCTTTTGTTTTGCGGTTAATCTAATTTCTAAGAAATTAAGTGTCGATGTATTTATTCTCCTCGTGTCAAGCACCGAATATTCATTTACAAGTTAATTCATTTCGAACAAATATTTTCTACATAAGTGATTCGTAGATGAGCTTGTTGCGTATTTACTTTGGACAATAATGTTAGCAATTTATTCAAAGCTTCTAAGAGACCTGACACACGGTACATTACGGTAAGAGTAATATTAGCCGTTTGCTTATAAGCTGCATCCGGCAGAAAGTCTTCAGATCGGGAGGTTTTGAGGAGCGTGGAACTAATTAATTGCTGTTGTTACCAGGTTCAATCTGACCCGTGGTGATAGCACTTGTTAGGGTCCCAGCTATGGGCAAATAGTTAACCCCCATTCAGTATTCATTGGCCGAGCAACCAGTGCTAATATCTTTTGAAATTTATAAATTTTTCTATTTAAATAAGTTTTATGCAAAAATAAGTTTCTCAAGTCCAGTAACTGTTATTGCTCTTTCTATTATTGATGGAGGTTTCCTTACTAACTTTTTGTTTGATGTAGTGTTCAGTGTCGTTATTTTCACTTCGAGTGACATTTGCTTTTCATTTTAGTTGTTGCTTCGCGTAAATGTTTTCAAGTGATGTGGTTTCTGTTAGAAAAGATCTTTGTGGTTCTTTAACGCTAGTCTATGAGAACTAATGAAGGAATATTTTCGTTTCCAGTGACATGTGATGTTTATTTTGGCAGCCACCGTTATTGAAAGTGGTCAAGTGATGTAGTTTCCGTTATTTGGTACAGATCTACAGTCATTTATTCGTAGATCTGCGAAAGCGATTGTATATAGCTGTCAGTTTTGATATTTCTGAACGAATTTGGTACCATGCATGACATCCATATGAAAGTCTTGATCTGACGAGACTATTTAGGACATGAATTTTTAGGTCATGTAGCAGATTAAGCAACATTTTATATTCAGTTCCCTTATCTCCAATACTAAATCTGTTATAAAGTATTTGAATTGTTTAGTATTTATCAAAACGCTGTGTACACAAAGCAAACTGGGGCGGCTTTAGATCCTACATGGCGGAATCTCCACATTCAAACTTTTTCAAGCATGTCGCCTCAAAAACTGCTGCTCATAATGGGTCCTTTCTGGAATGAAGAGTTTTATACCTACTAAAAAATCCAGTAAAAACCAAACAGCCAGCCCTGGTTCACTCTTGAATACGCTGCAGCCATAGCTCAGTGTAACCACTACTTCAATATCTATCAGAAGGAGCGGGTGTATTTTTACTCTTATTTCATTCAGAAACGCTCGCAATCGCTTCAAGGCAGTTATGGAAAATGCAACGTGTAGTTATGCACAAACCGTCGAAGCCAAGGTTGAAAACAAACAAATTGAATCTCGAGCGTTCTGGAAGATCGCCAACCAAATAAGGCATAGAAGCAAGTCAAATATGCCCACTATTATAAATGGACACCGAGTCATATCTTCCTTGTAAGAAAAGGCGAAGTTTTTCGCCCCAATCTTTGCTTCTAACTCAACATCAAAAGACATTGGACATCCCCTTCTCGAATTCCCACTGTCTCGCTGTGCACAATCTTAGTAGTATTTTTATTAGGAACAAAAATACCTAAAAAGCTAATAGCCCAGGCAAAATCCCAGTGGTTGTCCTCAAGAAAATAATCCAAAGTGTGGAATGTGTCAAGCGTATGTCCAGTTTTCAAGAACGCGGGCAAACGCTCAACCTATCTCAGTGTCATTAGCAAGCTTTTTGAGGCTATATTCAACAAGAAGGTTGTTGATCACCTAAATAAGAACAACATCTTCAGCGACAAGCAGTACGGATTTCAATCTGCCCGATTCACTGCTGATTCCTTAATTACAATTACTCACGTAATCAGTGAGGCAACAGACAACAAATGCATCTCAAGGACGATAGCTTTAGATATTTTAAATGCCTCTGACAATCCACATAGGATTGCTACTCAAGTTCTATAGCTATGCAATTATTGGAAGATTCCTTCCCCTAAAGGCTAGGTCCCTAAAGCTACTTGTTAGCGGCCAGTCATCCTAGGCTCTGGCAATCAACGCAGTCGTCCCCCAAGTGTAGCTTCTCGGACTAACCCTTTTTTTACATGAATGATCTGATTAAGAGTATACTCCGATCATTTGCGGATATATGTGCCGATGATACAACGTTATATGGCTGCACCTCTAAAACTCTAGATGACCAGAGATTGGTAGCTGATCTTTCCTTCGATCTAGCTCGAACCTCTCAGTGGGTGGAAAGTTGAATGTTTGCATTCAATGCCTTGAAAACCAAACGATTTACATTCTATCATCGCCGATCGGACCCTGAACTAACAACATTCACGATGAACGGATTTTCCCTCAGAGAGGCCCCGTTCCTTGAGCGACTATTGGGCCCAGAACACAAGTGGAACTCATAAATACAATCCATCGCTAAAAATGCAGGAAAAATAGTCAGTTCTCTGTACCGCTCCAGTAAATACTTGACTCCTCGTGATATCCTCTGTACCTTTATAAGAGCGTGATCAGGCCTACCATGGGATATTTGGGCAGAGACTGCCTAGTCCCCACTTTCCAGTATCGAGAGAGTCCAAAAACGCCGTGGGTGAGAAATTACCTTCCACTCTGCAAAGAGATGTTGCGAGTTTCTCACTGTTCTATCGCTAATTCCATCGAATGTGGTCAGACGAACTACATTCCTTGGCTCCGCCATTTTTAACCATCATGCCTAGGACCCGCCACCTTACGCGCATTGTAGTGAACCATCCTCATTTACCTGTATACCATTTGTGAGAAGTTAGTTCCACGCGTGACGTTTCTTCTTGCGGACCACGGCTCTGTGGAATCGACTCCTAAAAGGATGTTTTCACGATCACTACAACCTTAACCTTTTAGCGTATAGCGTCGATATTTTCCTCACATATCCGCATAAACTATACTCTTTACTCAGTAACCATCTACCACGATTGGCCCCAGGGCCTTTTATAGCGTAAAACCTCTTCTGTCTTCTTTTCCTGTAAGAATAAGCGAAGCTTAATGTATATCTATACTGATATCTATCAGACATTTTTTTTAATGGGTCCTGGAAATTTCTTTTATTTTTATTGAACCTGGTTTTATTGAGATACGATTTTGATTGGTTTAGTTTATTTTGTTTTACGGTATATCAACACCTCAATGTGTTATTTAATGCCGAAAAGATTTTAAGATAGGTTTGTATGAATAGAATATGTATTCTTGGTATGACATCAGTTTGTAGGAGATCAGGTTTCACTGATGTATTTTTGCAAAGATGGTTTTTGTCGAGAGTCAAATGTATTGCTGGTAATATTTAAAATTGTATTCCTACTATTTTTACTATAAAAATCTATTTTTCTATTTTCATAGTGTTTTGACCCAATTTGGGGGTTAACTATTTGCCCATATCTGGGACCCTAACAGGGGCTACCGCCACGGGTCACAGTGGACCTGGGAACAACAGCAATTAAGTAGTTCCACGCTCCTCAAAACCTCCCGATCGGAAGACTTTCTGCCGGATACAGTTTATCGTCATGTCGAGAACGTACGATTTTAAACAGACATAAAGTCAATTGGTGATTCTTATGAAATACACTGCTACTAACACATGGATATAAGATATGCAGATGACACCGTGTTGATGCTAGACACAGAAAGAAAACTACAGCAAGGCCGAGAGAAGGTAGGGGAGGAAAGTGAAAAGAAATGACTAACTGTCAATTGTAAAATGACAGAATGTATGTTTATTAGTAAGGGAAACAACCCAAGACGCAAGCTGCAAATTGGCGCCATCAAAATCAAGTGAGCATAGAAAATCTGTTATCTGGGAAATTTTATAGCAGACGACAAAAAATGAAACATCGAAATCCGAATGGGCATTGGAATAGCAAAAAACACATGTATGTATGTATGTATCTATCTATCTATCTATCTATCTATCTCAGTCTGTTAATATCTATCTACCTATCATTGTTTCTTTTTATCTATCTATCTATCTATCTATCTATCTATGTCAGTCTGTTAATATCTATCTACCTATAAATGCCGACTTTAGCTATTTTATTTTTACAAAAAAGTCTCTTATAGTTAACATCAGAAAGAAACGGTGGACATTTCTAGGGCACATAATAAGGAAAGTGGGCTTGGAAATTATGACACCCGCAAGACATATTAAACGTTAAAGGAAAAAAGTGCTAATCCTTCTAAAGAGCTTGAGTATAGAGGCGGCAGAACAGGGGTTACGAGAGATAGCAAAAAGACAAAATTTACTAAGAGATGTAAAGGGCAGGAAATTGTACAGAGCCATGATCAGCCACTTCATGTAGGAACAAAGAAGAAGAAGAAGAAGAAGAAGAAGAAGAAGAAGAACCATCTTATTAGGAATCTGCAAAAATATTTTGAAAATAAAGATTGAAAACATAATTGAAAAACGTGTTTTCGCTGAAAACATTAGCACAGACTTTATTGTTTGTCGATAAATTCTTATTCTTTATAACTGTGGAGTCGTAATTAAGTACTAAATGCTTGTCATGTTTTTGTCTATTTATTAAATACTTTTCGCACAGAAGATTACGACGCAGACAATAATGAAAGCCGAATATACTTAGTGAGCCTAAAAATTATGTCGACAAATATTTATTTCATTTATTTGTGTATAATTACTTATACTATTTGCATTCCAAACATCCCAAGACAATTTGGCTTATTATCTTTGTTATATATATTTTGTTTCTGAATGATTTACTGATGAAAGTTTGTTGAATAATAATTGTAATGGAAAGAATAGTCGTTTCTTTATGAGTCAACATTCTACGTTCACTGACTGAATATTTAGCGCTACTGTCCGTTGAAATTAAAAAAATATATCTTTGTCTTAAAAGATTTTCCAGGAAATTAAGTTCTGTAACTCTTATTGCTCTTTCTAATAGCGATAGAATCCTGGGTAAGACGATAAACTACAACCGGCAGCAAGGCCTCTGATCTGGAGACTGCGGGTTTTGAGGAGCTTGGAACTACATCTTTATTGATGTTGTTCCCAGGTCCACCCTGACCCATGGTGGTAGTACCTGTTAGGGTCTCAGCTATGGGCAAATAGTGCCCCCACCAAAAGAAAAAAAAATCACTATGAAAGTATAATAAAATATCTTAATAGTAAAAATACCAGCAATACATTTTATATAAAATACCAACAAAGAAAATGGTCAACAACACATATTTAAACCGAAATGGGTAGCAATACTGGTTTGATATGTCATCTGAGGAACCAGGAAAAAATCACTTTCCTGGGGAAATAAAATATAATCAATAGATCCTTAAGATTGTCTATTAATATATATATATATATCCTTAAGATTGTCTATTAATATATATATATATATATATATATATATATATATATATATATATATATATATATATATACTCAGCGGTGTACCTCAATGTCCACTTTTTATATTTAAATTCGTTCTATCCTTGATAATATGCCTCAAACAATCTTCATGTTTCACTCCCCCTTTAACCGGCTTTATATATAGGCCACTGGGGAATAAGAAATTTGGTTGAAGGATAAATCTGGCTTTCCCATATTTTTTTAAAGTCTAATAGTTTATTTATAGACATGAAATTTAGTTTGAATATATTATATTTATTATTTTATTTAAAGTCTAATAGTTTATTTATAGACATGAAATTTAGTTTGAATATATTATATTTATTATTTTATTTAAAGTCTAATAGTTTATTTATAGACATGAAATTTAGTTTGAATATATTATATTTATTATTTTATTTAAAGTCTAATAGTTTATTTATAGACATGAAATTTAGTTTGAATATATTATATTTATTATTTTATTTAAAGTCTAATAGTTTATTTATAGACATGAAATTTAGTTTGAATATATTATATTTATTATTTTATTTAAAGTCTAATAGTTTATTTATAGACATGAAATTTAGTTTGAATATATTATATTTATTATTTTATTTAAAGTCTAATAGTTTATTTATAGACATGAAATTTAGTTTGAATATATTATATTTATTATTTTATTTAAAGTCTAATAGTTTATTTATAGACATGAAATTTAGTTTGAATATATTATATTTATTATTTTATTTAAAGTCTAATAGTTTATTTATAGACATGAAATTTAGTTTGAATATATTATATTTATTATTTTATTTAAAGTCTAATAGTTTATTTATAGACATGAAATTTAGTTTGAATATATTATATTTATTATTTTATTTAAAGTCTAATAGTTTATTTATAGACATGAAATTTAGTTTGAATATATTATATTTATTATTTTATTTAAAGTCTAATAGTTTATTTATAGACATGAAATTTAGTTTGAATATATTATATTTATTATTTTATTTAAAGTCTAATAGTTTATTTATAGACATGAAATTTAGTTTGAATATATTATATTTATTATTTTATTTAAAGTCTAATAGTTTATTTATAGACATGAAATTTAGTTTGAATATATTATATTTATTATTTTATTTAAAGTCTAATAGTTTATTTATAGACATGAAATTTAGTTTGAATATATTATATTTATTATTTTATTTAAAGTCTAATAGTTTATTTATAGACATGAAATTTAGTTTGAATATATTATATTTATTATTTTATTTAAAGTCTAATAGTTTATTTATAGACATGAAATTTAGTTTGAATATATTATATTTATTATTTTATTTAAAGTCTAATAGTTTATTTATAGACATGAAATTTAGTTTGAATATATTATATTTATTATTTTATTGTTGATAAATTTCTTTTATTCATTTGCTTTGCGTATTTTCTTCTGTTCTCTTGGTATTTGAAATAAAATTTCTCATATTTCATTGATAGGATTTTATATAGTCTTGTGAGTTATGGTGTGGATATAAGTAGTATAATAGGAAATAGTGTTCACCTTAGTAGAACTCATTTCCTACTATACTAATTGCCTCCCTGTACCATTTCCATCAATCTGCCGGCGGCAGATATCTTGACCATATAAGAAAGTTATGATGCACCCTCTAAAAATTGTAGGAGGCGTGAAACAGGCCATCATGTTGAGTCTCATATCCACATTGTATGTATATCAGATCTCTAGCAGAATTCTCACAATAAATATAGTATTTTGCAAATAATAAACATTATATATATATATATATATATATATATATATATATATATATATATATATATACAAATGTTCATTAAATAATATAGACAAGTGTTGTCTATTTATTTTATGTAAAATTTTTTCGTATCTTCTGATAAGTTTGATAACATTATCATTAAACGAAGAAAGAAATTCACAATATTTATCCATTATTTTTAATATAATCTAAGCTTTCTTACTTAAGCCATTATCAAAGATATAAATCACAAAACATATTAAAAAAATATACGGACACGACAGTGATGATAGTCTGTCATTGTTTACATAGTGGATTACTAAGCAACGATAAACACGCGCATAGAAAACGCTAGAAGCGAAAATCGCACCGCATCTCATGACGTCACACATGACTACACGAGAGTGAATTGTAGAATGAAATAAGGAAAGCCCTTGGTATAAACCAATGGCTTCTGTTACCAATTATAGAAATTATAGACATTTAAGAATATTTGTAGACATGCCATAATTGATTTTGTTTAGGTTGGGTTTTAACTGTTTGATGTATAATGCTTCAAGTATTTTTAATTTTTGTCTATTGTTTCCATGTCGAAGTATAGTTGTGTTTTCGACAAGTATTTTACGGAATTGTGTGCGGGCAGGCATGTTGTCTTAAATGACTAAAAGTGTTAGAGTTTTCATTGAAATGTAGTGTCAAGCGTCGTGAAAGCGAGTTTGTGGTGTGACCAACATAAATATTATTTAATTCGTTGGAGATACACCCTCCAAAGGGCACTTTGAATTTATAAACTATGTTGGTTTTTTGCAAATCGCAACCGGGGAGAAGAATCATTGCGAAGTATTGTTGATATACTAGATTTAGTGTAGTATATGATTAATTTAATTTTTTGCTAGGATCTGTAGTTGATATATTAGAATTTACTAAATTTTTTAGTATGTTTTCATCTTGTTTATAATTAGTATGCATTTGATTACGATATAGGAGATTAATATATTTGAGATCAGTAGAAGCAGTATTATGTACAATTTGCTTATTATTGAGATTTCTAAGAAAGCATCTTATTTGTTCATCAACTATATAGTTTGGAAAGCTATTATTAATAAGTGTCTGTTTTATATTCTTTAGTTCACTGTAAAAATCTGTTTTGTGGATGAATTAGTTTCTGCACGATGTATTAGATTCTTTATAATTGCTATTTTGTAGTAATATGGGCATTCGCTTTGTAGTTAAGTGTACATGAATTTATGCTTGTAGGTTTTTTTTGTATGGCGAAAATAGTAAATTTGTTATTATTTGTGTTTATCAATATGTCAAGGAAGGGATTTTATTATTAGTATTGAGTTCATATGTGAATTTAAGGACAGAATTATTTTGGAACCGTTTTTGAAGTTGAATTATTTCATCTGTATTTTTAACTAACATAAGAATATCATCAACGTATCTTAGGTAGATTGATGGTTTTTTATATTACTGAGAAACCAACGCCTTTATCCACTGTGCCATGTGTTGTTTGTGTATGCATTTCTGGGACTTATAAAATTAATGTCTTCAGTAATCATTTTTACCCGTGTTCGTATTGCAATTTTTGCTGTTATCATTGCTTTTTTTTTTTTTTTACCAGAGCTCATATTGATTATTATTGCTTTTCTCTGCCACTCCTTCTTACTGGTTCCCATATTGTATTCGTTTCTATGCTTGGTCGGCTCATGAGATTTTTGTGGCCTAGGATATGTGTTGATTCCTTAAGTTTACAAATTTTCCAATGATGTTGTTTGTCTATGATTTCAACGTGATCCCACAGAGGGTGGTGATCTGCCTCTGTCGGTAAATATGGCAACAAAGATGAGGACAATAGCCCGAATAATTTAA